AAGGGAAGTGTGATAACTTGTGAAATTGAACTAAAAAAAGAAGAAGAAAGTTTGGAATATGTTCGATTATGATTGAGGACTTCTATAAGACAGAAATTTCTCCTTTATTGAGTTAGAAATATAAAATAATACTCATATAATTTTTTTTTTTAAATATTAATCATGGAAATAAGGTACATGCGCGTTAGTATATTAAAAGAAAGACTTTAAAAATTTAAGGGCATAAAAGTCGGTTGATATTTTAGGAATATTTTTGTCATATAACCTTTAGCGTAAATTATTCGTGCTTTTATAATAATATAGATAGATAGATTAAGGAATTAATATAATTGTCCTTTGACAAAGACATAAAACAATAAAACATCGTTATTATGACAAAACAATCAAGCAATCCTAATTCTTTGAGGAATCGAATTTTATTTAAACTAGGAATTTAGTTCCTACTTGTTCATTTGATAAAGCTATAAATAGAATATCACTAGATCGGGACTAATTAACCCTATTTCGTATTTTTCTCTGGAACACAGTCAGTGTATTTAAAATCCTATTTTTATTCTCTAATTGCCTTAGCGCTTTCTTCTTCGATCTTTGTTCACCGTTTCTGTATATCTTCCCTAACAAAATTAATTGTGTGTCCAATCTGTGAATTATCAATTCAAAACGGTCTTTCTAACTTCACAAGGCAAGGGTAAGACTCCATACACGCCATCTTCCACTTGAATTACACTGTATTTATTATTGTTATTGTTATTGTCCAATATGTGAACTACTAAATCGCTTATGCTATATAGGAATGGGAACTCTCCATATTCAAGAAGAAGTAATTATTGACATCCTCAGCAGGCTATCCGTGAAGTCCCTTCTTCGATTCAAGTGTGTTTCGGAATCTTGGAATACATTAATCTCTGAACCTTACTTTAAGAAAATGCATATCAATATTCATGCTAAGAACCAAAATTCCCAAAAAATGCTTATCAGCCAAATGTCTCATAATGATATTTTTTTCACCTTCTATTCTGCTTCTTTATCCTCAGCTCAACTTGTTAAGGATATACGTAGACTAGATTGGCCTTCAAGCTCTAAACCATTGGATGGTAGAGTTTATTGTTGTTGTGATGGCTTGTTTTTCATTGGGATTTGGAGTAAATTTGAGGAACAGCCTTCAATATTATTGCTATGGAACCCGTCCACGAGAGAGTCAATAATACTTCCCCGCCATCTAGAATTGCTACCAGAAGGATATATTTATGGAATGGGATATGACTCTACTAGTGATGACTATAAAATCCTTAGGATTGACGGATATGATGAAGCACCAGACGAAATTTTGGCACTTAAAAGTGCTTCCTGGAGAAAAATTGATGAAACCTCAGGTAGGATGAGTGTCGTTACGATATCTCAAATGGAATTATGTTTGGCATTTGTGGATGGAGCATTTCATTGGCTCGGTGTGTTTCCAAGGTCCGTGGTTTCATTTAATATTTCGAATGAGATGTATGGAGAGATACCACTGCCAGTGATAGAGCGCACGTCCTATAGAATGGTAGAAGAGGGTGTATCAGTGTTGGGAGGAAGACTTTGTTTTTAT